CCAAGATCGGCTGGAGGCGGCGCGGGTCCGGCCCCGGGTCCCCCGCCGCTTTGCTCAGCGTCTCCCTGTTCTGCAGACCAGGGAGACGCTGAACAAAGCGGCGGAGCACCCGGCAGGACCCGCGCCGCTTCCAGCTGATGGGGAGCAGCTTTTCTTGCCCCGGAGAAGGCGGGCGGCGGGACCAGGCGTCCCGCTGCTCTAGTTCTCCGGGGCGAGAAATCCCCGTTCGTAACTGCGAATCCGACGTAAGTCGGATCCGCGTAACTCGGGGACTGCCTGTACAGACAGCTGAATGCATCTGTTAAAAGAAGTGACAATGGGAAATGAGACAAATTCATACCCGAAGAAATACTATTGTACCTTGGGTACTATATAATAACATGTGAACACCACCAAAATCATTGGATTTACAGCAGGTTTGAGTGTGACTCAGTCTGATTCAGTTGTGTTAGCTTTGCACTGGAGTAATAGTTCTTCAGAATCGGGGGCACTTACTGTTAAATTTGAAAGGGCGGGAGCATGTTCCTGATGGGCTGAGAGGCATAGTACTCATTTGCCTAATGGTGCTATATGAATAACAGAGTTTTCGGGATTATATATCCTTCATTCCCTTGCATTTAGAGCATGAAGGTCAGAAGGAAGAGAAGGACAATGGGGCATGGAATTTATTGGGTAAAAACTCCTGTCAGCCAATGAGAGAGAGTAAAGATAATAAACCAAAATGTTCTGGCTGCAATTACTAAAATTAATCAGGAAATATAATCGGCTCCAGACATACATCAGGTCTGATATTCCCCAAGGGAAAGAAAGACTAGATAATTCATGAGCACTCCTAAGTTTGATTACCAGCAGAGAGAGATAATTGAGCTTTCCACTTTCTAAATACATTTCAGGTGCAAACATGAAAGCAAGCAATACAGCCACTTAGACGTTTTTGCCTGATTGTGCCCCTTCCCTGTTTTGTAAATCTGTTCTTTTCTGAAATAACTACCCTGAATGTTTTTCTCCCTTACTACGTAGCCATCAGTTTATATTATTATATTATTATTTATATAGTCCTATTGGTGTGCATGAAACTTTGCATATTCAATAAGCAGGACTGCAGATACCATTTATTATTAAGTTTGCCTGACAATTTCCATTTTAGGGCCCTAAAGAAAAAAGTACATCATATTTCAATATGGAGGAGCCAGGAAGGGGCATTGGAACTGGCAAGGAGAAGAGATGGGTGGTAGGAAGAGACTGAGACTTGGACAAGGAGACTGAAGTGGAAGATTAGGACTGGCCGAGCAAGGGAAGTGGGATGAGAAGCCCAAGGAGTGGAGCATGGATCTAGAACAGGAAGCCAGAAGTGCGGAAGAGACAAGATGCAACAGGGAGAGGCAGGAGTGGATGGAGTAGTAGGAGTTTGATTTGGGAAGGACAGTGGCATAAATGCATAGCATGGTTGGTATTGTGTGTATATAGGGGTACTGGTAGTACTCCCTGATACTTAGGTTGCTTAACACTTTCTAGTCTATACAATTCTTAAGGCTTTTATTCAGGAACCTCTATTACTTCCATGGTTTGAAGCAAGCCTTTATGTATGGCTGAGAGAAAGCCCTGGGACTGGTCCAGGGCCTTTACTTTTCCCCATGAAATTACACTGAGATAAAAACTATTAAAAATTTCCAGTTCTCTTTTTTCCGCTTGCATTCCCTCAGGAACATTTTGCAAGCATGGCAAAATAATAACAGAACTGGAACAGGCCATATCATCCCCAAAGCAGCAGCAGTAGCACCACTAGCAAGATCTGTGAGCTGCTAGCAATGGAGAGGAAGGACAACTAGGCTTTGTTCCTTCCCTGCAGCAGCTTACATGTACCTCGGCAGCCCGTTCTGGTTTTCATAGGTACTCTACTGGATCAGAATCCCCCCAGCTCCTGAACAGGGAGGCTATGTCTAGACTGCAGGCTTCTTTCGAAAGAGGCTCTTTCGAAAGCATCTTTCGAAAGAGCCTCTTTCAAAAGATCGCGTCTAGACTGCAGGCGGATCTTTCGAAAGAGAAATCTGCTTTTTCGAAAGAGAGCACCCAGCGAGTCTGGATGCTCTCTTTCGAAGATGGCCTCTTTACATTGAAGAACGCCTTCTTTCGAAAGAGGAACTTTCGAAAGAAGGCGTTCTTCCTCGTGAAACGAGGTTTACCGCCATCGAAAGAAAAGCCGCGTTCTTTCGAAATAATTTCGAAAGAACGCGGCTTGAGGTCGAACTAAGCTACAAGCTTAATTTGGCTTTTGGCGCTGTCTATACAGCAGGAAGTCGAAGAAAGAACACTCTTCAGTGGAGCAGGGGAAAGAGAGAAACTGTGACTGGGCCTCCCCCAGCACACAGTGATGGTAGCTATTCCTCTCTGGGATATCAGCCTTCGCTCCTGCTGCCAGGTAACATATTTAGTTCTACAGGTCGAGCAGTAAAGTCTATGTGTACTACAACACTAAAGCTGCAGGATTCAAACCCTGCAGTTGAGGCACGATGAGGGGCTTGTTACTGTTGTAGGAATTTTTTTTATTTTCCTTTTTTTAAAAGGAAATCACATCTAAAACCTGCATTAGAAGAATGTCACTTAAGCTGTCAAGTCAAATACATGAATGTTCAGAAGAAACCAGACTTATGTTGGCTGCAGCAATCTTAATTCCTCCTTGTACATGCATTACAACACAGTGTTTAATTACTTGCTCATATGCTGTTTTTTACCTGTCTTGTCAGTGTACAGGCTGATCACCAAAAGGAGGTAGATATCAAGTTGGTTGGCTATATGTACATATGGTACATCATTTTAGATTAGGTTCACGTGTCCTGCTGGTGCTTCTTGCTATGAATTTCTGGGCTTGATTTTCATATCACACTGATACAAATCACACATAACTCCTTTGAATTCAATAGAATTGCACTGGTGTAAAACTAGAGCATGATGGAGTAAAATTTCTCCACTCTGCAAGGGATACCAAAATGCTATAACAGTTGAACTAACTATCCCAGAATCTTCCTATTAAACCAAAGAAAATCCAATCAAGCCTTCTCCTTCAAAGGAATTTAATTACTGAGTAGAACACCAGCAACAAAAGTCTTTTATACATAAAGGGGATAGCTCTTTCTTCAATATCCCACCACAGCTTTCTGCAATAACCCACTAGTACCACATGAAATAATTATGCCTCTTGTGAATCATTACATCTTTATTCCAGGAAAAAATGGTCTTTTAATATGATTACTACCTGAAGAAGATACAAAAGAATGAACTGCATATTAAAAGAGTCTTGCTGAACAAACTAAATCCCAGACCCTTGCATAGGCTGCTTCCAGACAGAAACTAAAACTTGAAAAGTATAGGGGTAGGAATCAGATTTGATAAAAGGTGATGCCACAGATGGGCACATAGTTATTTAACTATCAGCCCAAACTATTAGCGCCATCTGTGTACCTAAGTGGTTGGTTTGTTGTATGTTTTAATTGTCTAAGTGCATCCTAGAATTATGAGGGAAGAATTACACGTCTCTAAGACGCTGAAGGTAATTGTTAGGACAACTTACTTCTATTATAGATGAGATGCAATGTATTCACTACAGTGGATAAGCCCCCTGGGGGCTGCTCTGTCAGAATATTATCATCCAACATTGCATTGTCTTGTCAAACTCTATTTTGTTTCATAGTAAATATGTGCTGGCTACAGGAGACACGCTTTGGTAAACACATAAATAGTTGAAGGCATTCTGAGCAGAGGTTTGTCTTGTGTCTCCTGATTACACAGCGGTCTTTGCTGGAGCCACAGAGCAGACCTTTGTAGAAGCTGACTCTTCCACCTCTCTGAAGAGCTGCGGTGGTCTGCTTGCCTCGTTCATAGCTCCTGCAGCACTGAGCTTTGTCTGAAGTCACAGCTGCCACGCTCCTCTCTGCCTGCCCATCAGGGCCAGGGCATGGAGGAATGCTCTTTTCCAAGGTTACAAACATATGCATTGGTGGTACTCTGGTCTCATTTGCCTGAACAGGGGTGTGAGCCCCCCCGCCCTCACTTTCCCTTGCTCAGCTCACCTGGGTCTTGGGTC